AAGAGAGTGCTGAGCCAAGTAGGTGGTTGTCTGGGTGAGATGACCACTCCTGTATAATGAGTCAGTAGGCTGTCGTGAAAAGGTGGCAGAAGTTCCCTTCAGTAGTTGCGCTTGCTTGAGAACAAGCGGCTGTTGTTTTGTGTCTGTTATCAGCTCTATTCCTGTAAGGAGGCAACCTAGGCCAGGTGTCCGGTGGAGTGGACATCCTGGTGGTTTCTCCCTCTACGGTGATGGGTGCCTAGGAGAGAGTTCGCAGACTGGGTTGGTAACCTGCCATCAGACCCACCAATGCGTTAGCAGCGTTCAAAGTTCTGTTGTCTGCTTCCAGAACCTTCAGAAGGCCTGAAGGCCCTGTCCATCAGAGATTTGGTGGTGGGTTGCTGAACCGCAACTGGAGGCCTCACTTCTTCACCACTCGCCCAACCGCAGCTACCCTGGCCCTGCCAGAAGCCAGACCTGACGCCAAGGCTCCCCTGCCGTGATCCCGGGAGTCCCGTCAGAACGCCACTGGCTGGGGCACACCTCTGGGGAGGTTGCCCTCGAGGATGTGATCTGCCCCTGAAGCACACACACCTAAAATGGCTGTTCAGAATACCCTTCGTGCCCGGGCAAGGCTAACCTCATTACGAGACCGTCGCAGGCGACCTCTGTCCCAGGAGTTCAAACTATATCCCACCAGAGAGGAGTGCCAGTCCCCAGTCGCCCACAGCTGGAGCCCAACGGGTCAGGTCGTCAGCCCTCGGAGTCTGCCCCCGTTCTCCCGGGATCACTGTGCCAGTAACACCTGGAGCTGAGGTAGAGACTCACACGTCTAGTCCCTTAGTCAGCTGTAGGGTATGGCCCCAAAAGGGAAGGTCCCATTCCCTGTATGTGCCTCTGGCTGGTGGCTGTATTGTCTCTCTGGGCAGCCAGGGTAGGGTCGGGGGAGGAGAGGAGGAGGCAATATGGAGCCTGCTGCGCGGCTCGGGTCTATGCATACGGAGGTGCCCCGAGGGAGTTGGGAGCCTGGTGCCAAGTCCGCTACTGGCTTACCGCTCACTGGCGGCGGCCATCTCTGGGCTGGTGTCTGCAGGTCTCTCCACCCACTGGGGAGCCCACCAGCAGTCCCAGATGCAGGGGAGGGGAAATGGCCGATCCACCCACCCTTCTCGCTGGTCTCCAGGCTGCTCCGGAGGTCTCTGCTTCCAGTTCTCCTCTGCAACCTCCTCCCGTGGAGTCTCCTGTGGTCTCAGGTACCCTTCCTTCCGACCATCATCCAATGTATGCTCGTCTTCTTGCTTCTTTCTTATGATTTCTCCTAGAATCTGTGTTTTCTGCAGAGACACTCTGTCTGGCAGTAATTCTCGTCCGCCATCTTGATTAATCTCTTCGCAGGAAGTATTAATTATTGCAACTACTCTGGAATACAACTTGATATTATTATAAAAAGTTGACTATTCTCATTTTCTATATTATAGAAATGATGCTCTTAGGAAAAAGCCCTGGAAAAATTCTGGCACATACATACTGGGAAACATGTATAAGAATGTATACTGTAGTCACTGTTAAAACAAATTAGTAGAGTGTTGATCAGAAAAGAATTAATAAATAAGTCATGTATATTCTCACAATGGATTATTAAACAGAAATACAATGAGTGAATTATAGCTATGTGCAACAACATGAACAAAGTTTAGAAACATAATATTGGGGGAAAATAACAAAACAGCAAGTGTTCACATAGAATGAAACCATGTATATGGAGTTTACAAAGGAGTAAAATTAAAGAACATGGCTTTACGGATATATATTTATTTAATAAAATTGCTTTCCATAACAGAAAAAGAAGTACAAACACAAAATCCAGGAGAATGATTGCTTCTGAGTAGGAGATACACTAAAGAAATAAGAAATGGGAGAGTAGAAACAATCATAGATGGGCTCACAAGTATTTATATTACTATGCTTTTTAACTCAAAGGTATCTGACAGATTTTGTAAATAATGTAAAATTTCATAACAAAAAGTAGAGAAAATCAGTAGATAACATTTTTTTTTTTTACATTTCATATTTTCAAACATTCAAATTAATTATGTATCCAATGTTTGCCAAGGTAGGAACAACTCTCACTTCTCATTCACTGTTGATGATGGAATTTTAGCTTGGCCTAACCATTTTAAAGGACACTTTTACAATATGTAATCAAGCCTCTCAAATACATTTTGATTCAATAATTTTATTTCTATTAAGTAGCCATGAAGAACTAGTTAAAGCCATGTATATATAAGGAGGTATGTTAAGAATGTTGACAGAGACAGGGTATGTAAACCTAACAATATTTGTACCCACAGAATATAAGATAATGAAAAAAATTAAAAAATTAAAAAAAAAGAATTCTTTTTTTTAGTTCTTTATAACTAAAAATTGGAAATACATAAATGTCCAGCAATGAAGTATTGACTAAAGCTATATAACTACATCCCTAAAATGGATTACCTTACAGCCATTAAGAAATACAAGAAAGAAGTATATTTATTAGCATGAAAGAATTACATATCACATTGTCAAGTGACCAAGGTGGATGGTAGAATAATGTGATCCCCTTTTTTTTTTTTTTTTTTTGAGACAGAGTCTCACTGTGTTGCCCGGGCTAGAGTGCCATGGCGTCAGCCTAGCTCACAGCAAACTCAAATTCCTGGGCTCAAGCAATCCTCCTGCCTCAGCCTCCCGAGTAGCTGGGACGACAAGCATATGCCACCATGCCCAGCTAATTTTTTTCTATTTTTAGTAGTTTGGCTAATTTCTTTCTATTTATAGTAGAGATGGGGTTTTGCTCTTGCTCAGGCTGGTCTCAAACTCCTGAACTGAAGCCGTACCTCCCGCCTTGGCCTCCCAGAGTGCTAGGACTACAGGCGTGAGTGAGCCACTGCGCCTGGCTGAGGAAAATGTGATCCTATTGTGTATGCTATAATTTTTAAATGCAGAAAAGGAAATTCAAAAGGAAATACACCATAATTTTTATGGTTATATTTGAGTGAAATGATTTTCAGTGCTTTCTTTTCTTTTCTTTCTTGAACTTAACTGTATGTCATCTACAAATATACTTTAGACCCTAATTTGGTGATCCTAAATATGTTTATTTTAATATTTTATGCTAAATCTACTAGATTTTCCCATTTCTCTCCATTTCTTGAGATTCTAAAGGAAAGAGTTATTTGTTTCTCCCATTCCACTCTTATTTACCACTGTTCATGGACAAATGGGCAAAAAAATTTAATAATTATTGACTTCCCACTATAGGCCAGTCATCATTGTAGGTACAATGAATGAGAAATTATGGTTTCTGTTTTATGGAGCTTACATTCTTGTGGAGAGAAACAAAATAATATGAAACAATCAATCATTCAAATAAAGAAACTAGTTAGTCATGTGTGGTGGCTTATGCCTATAATCCCAGCACTTTGGGAGGCTGAGGTAAGAGGATCACTTGGGGCCAGGAGTTTGAAACCCAAGCTTGTCTCCAAGCTCTGAGATTCTTTCTTCTCCTTGATTTAGCCTGTCATTAAAGCTTTCAACTGCATTTTGAAATTCCCTCAATGACTCTTTCATTTCTTTAAGTTCTATTATATCCTTTCTTATGTTGTCTATTTTGCTAGTGACTTTTTCATTTTTTCATGGATTTCTTGAAATGTTTTTTTGGCTTCTTTTTGTTGGTTTTCAACTTTTTCTTCAATTCCAATCATCTTATTTGCCATCCATATGCTGAATTCCATTTCTGTCATTTTGGCAATTTCCTTGTGGATGGAGTTCACTAGTGTAGCTCCACAGGGTTCTCTGTTTGGTTCACTTTTAGGCTCCATTCACTTGCATAAACTTCTGGACCATTAAATTTTTGTTCATATTCATAATTATCAGTATAAGTGTATAAAAACGAAGTGTTGTACTAAAGATTTAGCACATTGGTTTCTCTGGAGATAATCATGTGACTAGACTTAATTTTTTTGAGTTAATATTTACTAATTTTCAGGAATTATTTATAATGGGTAATTACCAATATTTGTAAAATATCCTACAAGGCAGTACAAAGATATTAAATAAAAACATTTCAATTTGTTTCCCTTTTTCTCTCCAGTGTCTCATTATGAGTTTTTATATCCTTTGGTTGCACTGGCCAAAGCAAATGATTCTCTAGAGGCAAAGGAGCTCATAAATGATCATGCTTTTGCAGTATTTGGTCACTGTTTTATTGAGATCTATGTAACTAGCTTTATATGTTCCTTTGGCAAGGTATTATATGGCACTTCATGTCAGGAAACACAGAAATATCTCAGTCAGAGTCCCTGAAGATGCTGTTGTCTTTATACAGGTAAAATGGAATGATAGGAATACATTTAACATTGGGAACAGTGGCTTTAGTCTCAGACATGGTTCTTCTGTTGGAATTGCTATGGACATGACATGAGTCTTATCCTAAGGAGAATAAGTGTCATCCTAAAGAAAAGTAGATAGCAGGCAGAATAAGGAATTGAATAGCATAGGATAATAATTATGAAAAAGTTTATTGACATATTGGAAAAGGTCAACTCACCTTGACTTTGAGCTAAAAATACATTGTGACTAGTGAAATGTGAGAGACATTAGAAAAAGTCAAATAGCTTTATAATGTTTTGGATTCAGTATAGATTGCAATTAATTACTGCGTTCTCAGTGATGATTACATGAATGATTCTCATCTTCTGCCACTTGGCAAACAGGCAAGAAAATTGATGACTTAACAAGGGTTATTATATTTTTATCTCAATTTGCTTTTTAGAAGAGATGAGTATAAATTGATCATCTGTAACAAGGGAATCAAATTTATAAGGAGTTTGTCAACTTTGCAAGATGGAAAAAAGTCTTGTCAACAGCTGAATAGAAATGAAAGACATGGAGACCAAAAAGCTTAAAGCTGAATAAATAATTTTGTATGTAATATTTAAAAATGTGATGTGGAAAATTTAAAAACAAAATAATACATAAAGCTACCATGAGATCTATTTAGTTTTCCTGGTCTCTTAAGTGGTTTAGAATTAGAGTGCTTGTATTAATTTTATTTCTAAATTATAAGTAGAATGGAGAAGGGTTTTAAGAATATTGACAAATGAGAATTTTGGGAAGGAGGTAGAACATAAGTCAGAAAGTGATTCTAAGAGGAAATATAAAAAGTATTGCAAAAGACTTAAAGGTTAAGACCTGAAACTATGAAACTACTGAAAGAGAACATTGGGGAAACACTTCAGGACATTGGTCTGGGCAAAGGTTTCTTGAGTAAGACCTCAAAAGCACAGGCAATCAATGTGAAAATGGACAAATAGGATACCATCAAGCTAAAAAGCTTCTGACCAGCAAAGGAACCAATCAACAAAGTGAAGATACAATCTATAGAATGTGAGAAAATATTTGCAAACTATTCAACTGACAAGCGAATATATAAGGAACTCCACTCAACAGCAAAAACTCCAAAGGATCCAATTGACAAGTGAACAGAAGATCAGAGTACACATTTCTCAAAAGAAGACATACAAATGGCAAACAGGTCTATGAAAAATGCTCAACATCACTAATCATCAGAGAAATGCAAATCAAAACCATGAGATAATATCTAACTCCAGTTAAAATGGTTACTATCAAAAATATAGAAAATAATAAATGGTGATGAGGATGTAGAGAAAGGGGAACACTTGTACACTGTCATTAGGAATGTAAATTAGTATAGCTGGTATGGAAAACAATATGAAGTTTCCTCAAAAAGCTAAAATTAGAACTACTATAGTATCCAGCAATCCCACATATGGGTATATATCTAAAAAAAAAAGAAATTAGTGTGTCAAAGAGATATTTGCACTCCTGTGTTTATTGCAGTACTATTCACAATAGCCAAGATATGGAATCAATCTAAGTGTTCATCAGCAGATGAATGGATAAAGAAAATGTGATACATACACACAATTGAATATTATTCAGCTACCAAAAATGAAATCCTCTCATTTGCAACAATAACAGATCTGGAAAACATTACTAAGTGAAATAAACCTGGCATAGAAAGACAAATATTGTACGCTCTCACTCATATAAGGGACTATAAAAAAGTTGATCTCATGGAAGTAGAGAGTAGAATGATGTTTACCAGAGACTGGGAAAGGTAATAGGGAGGGAGAGATAAAGAGCGATTGGTTCATAGGTACAAAATTACAGTTATGTAGAAAGAATAAGACCTAGTGTTCAGTAGCACAATAGGGCAACTATAGTTTGTTGTATATTTATTGTATATTTATTTATTGTATTTATTGTATATTTCAAAATAGCTAGAAGAGAAGATCTGGAATGTTCTCAACACAAAGAAAGAATAAATGTTTGAGGTAATAGTTTTATCAATTACCAGATTTGATCATTACATATTGTATGCTTGTATCAAAATGTACCCCCAAAATATGTACTGTTATGTATCCTTAAAAATAAAAATAATGAAAAATAAAAAATATTATTACTCTTTATGTATAAAAAAGGTATTGGCTTTGATGTTTTGGGAACAGAAAGTTAGGGTAACTTAGTTTGTTGCATTTATATATATATAAATTTATTTGAAATAAATAGAATTATATGTATTGCCCACAGATATAGACAGTAAAAGTTGAAATAGTCTTAAATTAAAGGAGGCAGAATTTTACTTAGGTATAAAGAAGGTTCTCTGACAATTAAAGTAAACATGCAGAAACTTTGAGCTGTGGGAGGTGTTGAACATGCAATATTTTTAGACTGAGTAGGAAATATATATGATGATGGTTGAGATTTGTACCTTGTTCATGCCTAGGAGCTATCTGTACATTCTTTTTTAATTTGATAACTCTGTCATTTGGAACCCAAGTTACCAATATTTTCTTCATCTATAAAGGATTAAATGTGTGGGAATCTATTTTGGAGGATTGGTCAATTCTATATGGGTGGAGAAAAAGTATAAATCACAACAGAAGACAAAGAGGTAGGCCTTTTCTTTTGCATCATGGATACTTAAAGTTAAAAATGATGAGTAAAATTAATGTGTTTAATACATACTGAATTGGCCAGGCATGGTGGCTCATGCCTGTGATCCTAGTACTGGGGCCCGAGGCGCGGATTGCTCGAGGTCAGGTTCGAGACCAGCCTGAACGAGCGAGACCCATCCTCTATTAAAAATAGGAAGAATATTGACCAACTAATATATATACAATTAACCTGCGCATGGTGGCACATGCCTGTAGTCCCAGCTACTCTGGAGGCTAAGGCAGTAGGATTGCTTGAGGCCAGAGATGAGGTTGCTGTGAGTTAGGCTGATGCCAATGGCACTCCCTACCTGGGCAACAAAGTGAGACTCTGTCTTAAAAAAAAAACACACTGAAGATCTTATTATGAAACTTTATTTTACTCCTATAATTTACCCTGAGACATTAGTATTATTATTTGCAATTTTATAAATATATAAACTGAGGCTCAAGAGTTTAGGTAACTTGCTTAATATCACCTTGTCAGTGGCTGAACCATGATACAAATCTTGGTTTCTGACAGTCTGTATTTTTCCACTATGCTATGTTGCTTCTCTAAATAAAACTGAACTTACAGTAAAATGTGATAAATATTCACATAGAGGCTTGAACAAAATGCCTTCCACTGTATCAAAATGCCCTTCATAGTTTAAGCTTTTAAGAGCATGTGCTAAGTACTCTAGGGTAGTGCTTATCAAATTATCTTCTCATATTATCTTAGTTATATGTATTTTTTCCAATGCTTCTTTGACTGATACTTTAGTAGAATATAAAATCACACAGTTCAGTCTTGCTGTAATGTTAAATTGCTAGAGAAGTTTCTAAACACTCTCAATTTTGGTACTTAACCTGATACAAACTGGTAACTGACAGTTCATGGAACTGCTCCTCTCTGTGGACCACTTTTTTATTGCCTCAGAGAATTTAAACGTGAATAAGTCATAACTTCTGTCTTCCAGAAGATTCCAGTTTACTAAAATATAAGGGATAAGAAAATAAATGCTAGTAATACAAAGCATGACCTCACTGCTATGATGAACATTTAATAAACCTTGAAGATAAATATTTTTCAGAGTTGGTGTGTGGGAAAAAAGGGCTTCTTTGCCAGCATATGGGTGTAATATTGGAATGGATACAATAGTTGAGAAAAGGTGAATTGTCTTGTGTGATTAGAGCCAGGCTGTATAAGTCTTGAAGCAAAACTCAAAAAAGTTTGGGGGCTCAATTGCTGTTACCTAGTTATCCAATTTTGTGTCTTATAAGGAACATTGAGGCAACTACCCTAACTGAAACCAGAGGAGTATTAAATGCAGAGATAACTTAGTGGAAGAGAGCTCCATATGACAGCTTCTACCTTCTCCATGTGATCACAATTTCAGAATCGGTGAGCATATTAGGTTGTTACCCTCTGCCACAGCTTTATTAAGGTATGAATGACAAATAAAGATTGTATTTATGGTGAGCAATGTGATATTTTGTTACATGTATAGATTGTGAAATGATAAATCAAGCTAATTAACATATTCATTATCTCACATACTTTTTTGTAGTTAGGACATTTAGAATCTATTCTCTTTTTTTTTTTTCTTTTCAGACAGAGTCTCACTTTGTTGCCCAGGCTAGAGTGAGTGACATGGCGTCAGCCTAGCTCACAGCAACCTCGAACTCCTGGGGCTCAAGCAATCCTTGAGGCTGCCTCAAGGAGGCTGCCAGCAATCCAGGAGGCTGCCTCAGCCTCCTGAGTAGCTGGGACTACAGGCATGTGCCACCATGCCCGGCTAATTTTATATATATATTTGTTGGCCAATTAATTTCTTTCTATTTATAGTAGAGACGGGGGTCTCGCTCTTGCTCAGGCTGGTTTCGAACTCCTAACCTTGAGTGATCCGCCTGCTTCGGCCTCCCAGAGTGCTAGGATTATAGGCGTGAGCCACCACGCACAGCCAAGGATCTATTCTCTTAATAATTGTCAAGTATGCAATACATTATTATTGCCTATAGTCATCTTGATGCATCATAGATCTCAACTCTTCATCCTTTCTAACTGAAACTATGTACCCTGTGTTCAACATCTCCCCATTCTCCATCAATCCCCAACCGGCTCCTGGCAACTACCAGTATACTCTTTGCTTCTGTAGATTTGAATTCTTTATTTAAAAAAATTATTTTAAAAAAAATTTCAAAATATTAAGGGGGTACAAGTGATTTTATTACCTGGATGAACTGTGGATGAATTCTTTCGATTCTACGTACAAGTGAGATCTTGCAGTATTTGTCTTTCTGTGTTTGTTTTATGTCACTAAGCATAATGTTCTCCATGTTAATTCATGATGTTGCAAATGACATGATTTCCTTCATTTTTAAGGCTGAATTGTATATACGTCACATTTTCTTTATCCATTCATGCATTGACAGAGACTTAGATTGATTCCAAATCTTGGCTATTGTGAGTAATGCTGCAGTAAAATGCAAGTACAGATACCTCTTCGATATACTTATTTTATTTCCTTTGACTAAATATCCAGTACTGCAATTTCTGAATCATATGGTAGTTCTATTTTTAAGTTTTTATAGAAGTTCCACATTGTTTTCACTATTGGCTATAGTAATTTACTTTCTCACCAACAGTGTACAAGGGTTCACTTACTACAAAGCCTCACCAAACTTATCTTTTGTCTTTTTGATAATAGCCATTTTAAAGGTGTGACAGGATATCTCACTGTAGTCTTAATTTATGTTTCCTAGATGATTAGTGATGTTGACAATTTTTTCATACCTATTGGAAGTTCAAATGGTTTTAATGCTAAAGTAGAAATAGGCTTTCATAACTTTGATTTCTCTCTGTCCAGTTTACTAATATAATTATCATAATTTATATTCTCTCCTGTTATTCTCCTTCAGGAGGCACTGCTACCAAAGCAAATGGATGGGGCAAATCACTCTGAGGTGTCAGAGTTTGTGTTCCTAGGACTCACCGATTCCTGGGAGATCCAACTTCTCCTCTTTGTATTCTCCTCTGTGTTTTATGTGGCTAGCATAATGGGTAATTCCCTCATTATACTCACTGTAACTGCTGACCCTCACTTACATTGTCCCATGTATTTTCTATTGGCCAACCTCTCCTTCATTGACATGGGTGTTTCTTCTGTCACTTCTCCCAAGATGATTTATGACCTTTTCCAAAAGCACAAAGTCATCTCCTTTGGAGGTTGCATTGCTCAGATCTTCTTCATCCATGTCATTGGTGGCGTGGAGATGGTGCTGCTCATAGCCATGGCCTTTGACAGATATGTGGCCATATGTAAGCCTCTCCACTACCTGACCATCATGAGTCCACGAATGTGCATCTTCTTTTTAGTGGCTGCCTGGATGACAGGCCTCATCCACTCTGTGGTTCAGTTGGCTTTTGTAGTAACCTTACCCTTCTGTGGTCCTAATGTGTTGGACAGCTTTTACTGTGACCTTCCTCGGTTTATCAAACTTGCCTGCACAGATACCTACCAACTAGAGTTCATGGTCACAGCCAACAGTGGATTCATCTCTGTGGGCTCCTTCTTTATACTGGTCATCTCCTATATCTTCATCATTCTCTCTGTTCAGAAACACTCTTCAGCTGGTTCATCAAAGGCTCTGTCTACACTTTCAGCTCACATCACTGTGGTAGTCTTGTTCTTTGGTCCTTTGATATTCTTCTATACATGGCCATCTCCCTCCACACACCTGGATAAGTTTCTGGCCATCTTTGATGCAGTTCTTACTCCTGTTCTGAATCCTATCATCTACACGTTCAGGAATCAAGAAATGAAGGTGGCAATGAAGAAAGTATGCAGACAGCTAGTGAGTGACAGAAAGATCTCTTAAATAAATATTTGTATTGTCAAGAGTCCTCATTGAGTATTAAAGTTCATTGTGAAGGTCAACTCAGAGAGAAGCTTCTTTTACTCCTACTTTGATTTGATCATCCACATTGATATTGGCTGTATTTTGTCTTTCATTTAGGAGGGGGGACATTTGGTTCTGAAAGGAGAAAAAATTTACATAGAAAGTATTTAGAATCCAGAGATTATAATCATCTTGAGCCTCAATTCTTAAGGGATAATATTTATATGAAGTAATTATTAGAGATACATATGATGGTAGGTACTTTAAGTCCTTCAGAACAGGGAGAAATTTCTCCCTAATCCACTGTAATCAAGCATGACCTCATCTTAAACTGACTATATCTGTATAAACCTTATTTGTTCATATGGGCATATTCACAGGTACTCAGTGTTAGAACCTCAGCATACCTATTGGTGGACACAAATCAAACTACAGCGGAAGAATAGATAAGAATAGAAATGGTTGTAATATAGTTGTCTATTTATTAGAGTAAAAATATATTTAAAATAAACCTAGTAGAAGTAACTTTTGCTTTTTGTAGGCAAACAGCTATTCTTTTTTTTATTAAATAATGGAGAATATAAAAATAGAAAGCACAAAAACTTATTCTTGTGAAGTATAGAATCTCTGACTACTAGGAAGATTACATACAAGGTAAAGAAAAATATTTACTGCATCTTTAAAAGAAGAAAGAAAAAATTTGTCATGTCGTTCAAATAGAAAATCAAATTCTTCACCCTAGATTCCAAATGTGAGCAGTCACCTGAGCTCCGGTGCCGTGGCTGCGCCTTCGCGCCGTCTGCTTGGCGACCCTACCCTCCGCCCGCTGGCCCTTCGCTCGGCCACCCCGAACTCGCCAAGGCCTGTCCTTTTCCTCCTGTCCTTTCCCTGTCTCGGGCCGGACCGGGCCGAGCCGGGCCGCCAGGGCGCGGTCCCTGACCATGGCGTCCCTCTTCAAGAAGAAAACCGTGGATGATGTAATAAAGGAACAGAATCGAGAGTTACGTGGTACACAGAGGGCTATAATCAGAGATCGAGCAGCTTTAGAGAAACAAGAAAAACAGCTGGAATTAGAAATTAAGAAAATGGCCAAGATTGGTAATAAAGAAGCTTGTCGAGTTTAGCCAAACAGCTTGTACATCTACGAAAACAGAAAACAAGAACTTTTGCTGTAAGTTCAAAAGTTACTTCTATGTCAACACAAACAAAAGTGATGAATTCCCAGATGAAGATGGCTGGAGCAATGTCTACCACAGCAAAAACAATGCAGGCAGTTAACAAGAAGATGGACCCGCAAAAGACATTACAAACAATGCAGAATTTCCAGAAGGAAAACATGAAAATGGAAATGACTGAAGAAATGATCAACGATACGCTTGATGACATCTTTGAGGGCTCTGATGATGAAGAAGAAAGCCAGGATATTGTGAATCAAGTCCTAGATGAAATTGGAATTGAAATCTCTGGAAAGATGGCCAAAGCTCCGTCAGCTGCTCGAAGCTTATTACCATCTGCCTCTACTTCAAAGGCTACAATCTCCGATGAAGAGATTGAAAGGCAACTCAAAGCTTTAGGAGTAGATTAGTAAAAAAAAAAAAAAGTCATAATATTATGCTTATGTAGTATAAACCAGGCACAGTGCAGATTCCTTTTCAAAACCATTTATTTTGCAAAAATAAAGAACATGATTGAACAGTTTTTCCTAACCATGGCTATTTTGAATCTTTTGCAAAGAATGACAATGATGCAAAAGTGGAACAGTTTGGATTTTAATTAGAACTATTTAGGAGTGATGATGTGTGAAAAGTTGACTTCTTTTCTGCATGGCACAGAGAAATTATATTCATTACTTAGTGTTGGTTTATGTTCTAAATCTTTACACTGAATATAAAAATCTTGTTAAATGCCAGTAGGCATCAACTTAAAGAGACTTGTATAAAATATTAAAAGTATATCATTAATTCTGTATCTGTTGCTTGTCTTTCGTAAGCGATTGTGTGTTATGACCATAGGCAGTTCAGCTGCCAATTATTTTTAAATGATCTAAAAGAAGAGTGCTATTTAAACATCTGTCTTAAGCAAAAACTGCCATGGTTTTTTTCTTTTGGAGAACATTCTATTTGGTAAGTTTATTACCTTTCCAAATGTGCTTGGCACTGCCTTAAGTAGCACAGACATTTTGTACACATTGTTAAATTATTTTGACTGGCAAAAAAGAATTATATCTGAAACTAAAATTGAGGCCTTGTACAAAGATTTTCCAGGCTTTCTTTAATAAAGCTTATAAAAGTGAATTGAATATAATTAGCAAAAAAAGGACACTGAATTAACAATATTTTACAGCAATAAAACAACATATTTTGGCCTTCCGAAAACTGAGGAAATTTTGTCCATGTGAATTATAATTTAATCTGTTTAATTTTTAACTCTATTAGTGTGTATATTGACTTCTCTAAATTGAAGCCATTCTCAAGTACTACTATATGACAAACTCAACTAAGTTTTTAATATAAAAGTTAACATTTTTTGGTAAATTACAATTTTGTTAGAAATTACTGCTAAATGTGTAGTAATGTATTAGCAGTATTTTTAAAGGTAAAGTTGCTGTGGTATTTATATATGTAAGTGTGAGAGAAATGAAGGAGTGCAAATTAGTTAGGAATAGAATTAGGATGGTTAGTTGAAAATGGTAATATGGGTTCTAGCACATCACCACAAAAATTGAAGATCAGGTATGTATAACTGTTTAATTTGGGATGATGGACATTTTGGACTAATGTTGACAAAATACATTTGAGGACTAGAATACATGTGACATATGGATTGGTGGGAAAAAGAAAACTAAACTGTATAGTTTACACTCCATGAGTCTTTTAATGTCTAGGTTTCATTGTCAGTATTAACAACATAATTTTTCTGAACAGTGATGGGTCAAAACATTTTACTGGATTATTGAATGTTTACTGGGAACATGTTTTGATTCTTGGATGTACATAATAATGACATCTAACTTATTTACTTTCTTGTGTACATGTAGGGGCTTTTGTTTTTCAAAATTATTTTGTTAAAAAAATTCCAATAAAGATTTTATTACTGTTAAAAAATTCTACTCTAATGTTAATGTAATATTTGACAATAAAGCATTCTTAAGATTTTTTAGTAGACCCATCAAAGCTAAGCTGTGTAAACTTTATCAAAATTTTAACATATGTCATTACTTCTATTCAGATTTATTATTTGAAGTTACATATATGTAATCAAGGCAAATAGAATTCACTTCCAGAACCTTCTGCATCTTTCTCTATCCATTGAGCCTTGTCTTTTACTATTGAGTTTCACTTTCACATTTTGGAATAACAAGACATTTTATTTTAAGATGAATCTACCTTTTTTTTCCTTGATAAAGAAAACCAGATCCTATTTCACTGTATATCAGTCATATATTTGGCTATTACTTTTAGTTTCAATCAACCATATTATTTATGACGTTAACCAAAGAAATTAACTTTTATCTCATAAAGAGTGCTTGTTAAAGAAAACTAGAACCTGACAATAGTTATGTGATAAAAAAATTTTATTCAGGAATTATTATAATAGGGAAAGGAGGCCTCAGTATAGGATTGGGCTCAGTTCCCAAAACAAGAACAAATGTGGATTTATGGCTAAGGAGTAGGTTGTGGTGTCAGTGGGTGAAAAATTATTAATAGGAGACATCCAGGGTAGGGAGAATTCTTGCTAAACAGACTTAACTGGATTCTTGCCGAAGGAAGGCCAGGGCAATCAAATATCAAGGGTGGGGTTGGGAATTTGACCAGCTATCAAGGGTAATCAGAAATGAAACATGGAGGATTATTTCTACACTGACTTAGCAGAATTCTTGCTAAAATTGCATTATGCAGCTCTAGTAGGGAAGAGGGCCAAGGATGAGGGTTAGCTGAGAAGAGAGATCAGAAAAGTCTGACTAAATTTTGGTCAAGGAGAGAGTCTTTGTCAACTCAAAGGTGAAAAATTGAGACTTGTCTGACATATTCACTTATATTAGTAGACCAGCAAAACTCATTAGCATTCAAAATATAATTCTTGTTTTTAAATTTCACAGTATTATGGGGTATAAATATTTTTGGTGATATGGATTGCTTTTTTTAATTTCAGAAAATTATGGGGGTACAAACATTTTGGTTACATATAATGCCTTTGCATTGCCCAAGCCAGGGTTACAAGTGTGCCCTTCCCCCATACAGTGGGCACCGCAACCATTAGTTGGGAGTTTATCCACCCCTTACCACCCCCTCCCACCTGACTGGTACCCAGTGAATATTACTTCCATATGAGCACCTTAGTGTTGGTTAGTTAGTATCAATTCGATGGCAAGTACATGTTATGCTTGTTTTTCCATTCTTGTGACACCTCACTTCGAAGGATGGGCTCAAGCTCTATCCAGGATAATATAAGAGGTGCTAGTTCCCCATTGTTTTTTGTGGTTGAGTAGTATTCCATGGTATACATATACCACATTTTATTAATCCACTCGTGTATTGATAGGCACTTGGATTGTTTCCAATTTTACAATTGTGAATTGTGCTACCATAAATATTTGAGTGCAGGTGTCTTTATTATAGAATGTCTTTTTTTCCTTTGGGCATGGATTGCTTTTAAAATGCTTGAGTCATGGTTATAAGTGTGCTCGTCACCCAGATAGCATTCACTGGACCTGTTAGGTAGGTTTTCACCAATTCCCTCTACCCGCGTCCCCCCTGCTTAATTTCCATTAAATTTTAGTTCCCTCTGTGCACATGTGTACTCATCGATTAGTACTCATTTAACAGTGAGTACATGTGGTGTTTCTTTTTCCATTCTTGAGACACTTCGCTTAGGATAATGGTTTCCAGTTCCATCCAAATTGTTGCAAAAAGCATTAAGTCATCCTTCCTTATGGCTCAGTTGTATTCTCTGGTATAAATATACCACATTTCATTATCATTGCAATTATGAATTGTGCTGCAATAAACATACATGTGCAGGTATCTTTTTGATAAAATGACTTCTTTTCCTTTGGGTAAATATCCAGAAGTGGGATTGCTGGATCAAATTGTAGGTCAACTTTTAGTTCTTTGAGGAATCTATATACTATTTTCCATAGAGGTTGTACTAGTTCACAGTTCCACCAACAGTGTATAAGTGTTCCTTTCTTTACTGCCACAGATATCCTATTTGAAACTTCTTAAAGGCAGTAAATGTTATTCTTAAAGTAGAAAATATAAATATACTTACTATAATAACATGATTTGAAGATATAGACACACCATAAAGGTATAAATAAAGTGACACACATACATACACACACATACTTGCTCCCCCATGATCAACGTTTCAATATGCATACACAATTTTATTTAAAAATCATTCAAAGACTATATCTGGGATTACTGTATATAACACTAAAACAAAGTGTTAGGACAAGTAAGGATCTTAGAAGTTGTATCTCAGTGGAAAAGCTATAAAACTTTTATAATTCCAATTGATTGAACAAATAATTGTACATTTTTAATAATTTTAAATGCTTGCTTTAAACTCCACGATGATAATATCAAGGAGAAGACCTATAGGTATTATATAAAAATATTATAAAATCAGTCTATGCTATGCAATTTTGATTATTTGAATTTGGATTCTTATATAAAAATGTTCTAAGCTGGTAATTTCTATGAGAATATTTTTCTGAAAAAATTGGCATATTTAGACTAGTAGACATTCAGTTTTTTCTATTTCTTGGGAATTTAGGGACTATTAGATTTAAGTAAGCACTTGTTCATTTCTATAAAGCAATACTAACAGAAATCCTTGAAGAGGTTTTATATCTATTTTATTAATATATCCTTGAAGTAGGAAAATATTTCACATCACACATTGAGAGAAAAAGTCTTCTCAGTTATGAAATACAGTCTCACATAAACCTCCTAGGCTTAGTTCTACAACTTCAGCTACAGTTCAAGACTCAGATTTACAAAAAAGTTGAAAGTATAGACAAATACATAAAATCTCACACTAGACCTCTAAGAGCTATTCTACTTTTAGTGAAATCAAGAGAAATTCTTGCACAACACACAGATTTTTTTAAAAAGCAAACTGACAAACCACATTCTCAATCATCTCTCATCTGATAGGTAATAGGTCCCCACTATTCCTATAGAGATTACCACATGATCAAATCACAAAATCAAATTTGTAATTTTTGCTGTCACTAATAAGGAATTACCTATTGGACTTGTACAAATCAGAACCAGAATTAAATTTGGCCAAAAGCAAGAAAAACAAAACTGAAATTAGAGTGTCAGTGAAGGTAAAGTTTTGCTGCTATTTGATATTTGTTATGGGAATCAAGAAGAATACAATTGAGCTGAAACAATCCACAAGGTGCATTGTTTGGGAAACACATTTAATTGGCTCCAGAGATGTGTCCACCTGGATATTCTGATGAGATCTTTAGGGTGGTCAAAATATAATTTTTAAAACGTTTAAAATACAGCTTATATAAAGTTATCACGTGCCATTTATCTCACTGCCGAGGGAACCAGCAAGATGGTAAGCTGGTTCCAATTAAGTTTTGATGAAATCAGTTTCTAGGACTGAATGAATTCCCCTGGAAGTGCTCTTCAAGTTACCAATTC